ATGAAATCTATAGAGACAGAGTCTCCAGGGCCGGTAGGGATAGGCAAGGGCTTAAGTAGCCCGAGGGGCGATTGCGTGGTGCCTTTGTTTCGTTGGCACACTTGGCAACCCTGCACATACGCGATACAGTCCGCTTTCATTCGAGGCCAGGTGTAGGAACGTAACAAGGTCCCATAGGTCTTCTTCCACCCGAAATGACCTTCTGTATCATGGCATTCCCCCAAGATCATACTTTTGATCTCTTCATTATTGGGTATACACAGCCTATCATGCACATCAGTTCGTTCAAACAACAGACCCTTAGTCACTTTATGATCGGGAAACTCTGCTGGCCTTTCTTGCACTAGCTTAATCATGGTTCCATAAACAGGATCAGAGGGATACGCATTTCTAATATTTGCTTGTAGGTCTGCACCTACATCTAGATAAGTCACAATAGCACCGAAAAAGTCTGATCTACGACTTAGTGCATCAGCAACAATGTTATACTTACCCTTTACTGGCTTTAGCTCAAAGTCAAACATATCAATTTCTGCAGCCCACCTTGTTAACTTAGGTGTCATTCAAGCTTGCGTTTTGAGCCAGCGAAGTGTTTCATGGTCAGAGTATACTTTAAAATGCCTTCCTAGAAGGTAGTGTTGCCAATGATTGAGAGCCTCACGCAAAGCATACAACTCTCGTTCATACGTTCAAGCGGCCACCTTCTCGTTAGGTAAGCGGCAAGACATAAACTCTACAGGTCTGTACCCATGCCCATCATCTTGCTGGAGTACAACACCTATACCATATTGACTAGCGTCGGTCGTGACCACGAAAGGTAAGGAACGGTCCGCCACTTTGAGAACCGGATAATTAATCAAACACTTTTTCAGACGCTTGAAGGACATCGTGCAGTCTGAATCCCACTTCCAAATTACTTCTTTCTTAAGCAATCGGTGAAGGAGAGCAGCTATTATTGTAAAGTGTCTTACGAACTTTTGATAGTAGTTGGCTAACCCAAGGAACGACCGCAACTTAGTCAGGGTGCGGGGGTTTGGCCAATCTCTGATTGCTGCTATCTTTGCATCTTCCGTTTTGACCCCATCTCCATCAATCACATGTCCCAGGTATAGAACCTGACGCTTAGCCCATTCACACTTCTTTGGGTTTATCTTGAGTTTTGCTTCCCTTAGCTTATTTAGCACAAGTCGAAGGTGCTCAGCATGTTCTTTTTCATCTTTGCCGAAAATCAAAATATCGTCTAGATAAATCACAACAAATTTATCGAGCCACTCACGAAATAGTTCGTTCATTGTTCTTTGGAAAGTGGTAGGGGCATTTGTGAGACCAAAGGGCAGAACTACGAATTCGTAATGCCCATACCTTGTCCTGTAGGCAGTCTTATGTTGGTCTTCCGGCTCAACCTCAATCTGATGGTAGCCGGATTTTAGATCAATCTTTGAGAATACTTTGCTTCCCTGCACGCGATCCAGCAAATCGTCTATTCGCGGTAATTGTTCGGCATTTTTCACTGTTATATCATTTAACCTCCTATAATCTATACACATGCGAACRCCGCCGTCCTTTTTAGGCACAAAGAGCACAGGCGCACCATAGGGTGAGGAGCTAGGTCTTATCCAACCATTTTTCAACAACTCATCGAGTTGGGTTCGCAGTTCATCCAATTCCTGGGGCGACATACGATATATAGGCCCCTTCGGGGCGCGCTCCCTGAAATGATATCAATGTGGTGGCGGATTGGTCTTTCCACCACACCGCTTGGGGCTTCAACCACATCTGCGAACTCTTTCAGGATCCTCTCAATCTCTTGGGACCTGACTTCTTCCTTTGTTTCTCCTTCCTTTATTGGGCGCACATATGCAACAAAGACTTGGTCATACAAGTTATGTTTCTTAACATGGCGAGCGAACGCTGGGGCACTCATACAACAGTGAGATAGGCTGCTTTCTTTTCCTGATTCATGGTAGAGGCGAATCTTTTTCTTACCTCCTTGCGGACCTGGAAACCAACATTCATGTTCCCTTAACTTTAGATCCGCATGTGCAGCCTCACCCCAATCCATTCCTAACAACACATCAAAGAGCAAGTTATCCTCCACCAAGAAGGTCAGAGAGTGGAGAACGCGTTCCACCTTCCCCTCTGCCTCTAGCCGAAAGTATACTTGTACTCCCTCGACGTATCGATCCATGACAGTTTCACTACTATTCGCCAACTTACTTACAATGGGCTCACCTAACTTCTTAACCTTAAGCCCAAGACGCAGTTTCTGCAAACCTCTTTTACTAATATAACTGCGTGTAGACCCGCTGTCTATCATACCTCCTACTCTTATTCGATTTATCTCTAGATCGACAATTATTAGATGTCCTTTCTTTTTACGCATTTCAGTCCAGGCTTAACGACGAGCGGCCAACTCATCACCTATGCCAGCGAGGGATCCATCTAGAGAGATGCATACATTTGCCACGTCTGGATAGTGTACTAGATGGGGACTTCCTTCCTCTTCAATTTCTGCCATTGGGGCCTTCGAATGGGAGGATTCTGATTTTTCAACATTCGAAGCCCCGGGAGAGGCAACTGGCACCTCTACTGGCTGTTCCCTTTTGCCCCCCTAGAGTCGGGGCAATAGGGGACAATGTGGTCGGGGTCCCCATATTTGAGGCATTGATCTGCCTTCTTCCATTCGGCCCAAACTTTTTCTGTGATTCCCAATTCTTTCCAAGGTTCTCCTTCCGATAGGCCTGGATGTGGTGGGTATGGCTTATCCCACTTGTTGAACCATGAGCCTCTTCCTCTACCCCAGGTGGAGTAAGAACCACGCCCACCGTATGAGGGACCATTTCCCCTTCCTCCCACGTAGTGGCTTCCTTCACAACCACCCCTCTGGGTGCCGAATCCTCGTCCACCACGRCCGCGACCTCTTCCTCGGCCACGCCCTCTTCCTTGACGCCCTCCCCCGCGGGCTGCAACAGCCGCGAAACTTCCCTCCTGAGCTACCGGTCTGTTGGGTTCATCGAGACCATAATCTACCTGATCCTAGGAGATGGTCTCGGCGCCTCCTTCCTCAAAGGTTAGAAGGAGACTGTCTTTCCCAGGTATAGACCCTGAGATGGTGCGGTTTTGCCATCTTTTACCCGCTTGTAGATCCTTCCAGTAATGACAATAATTTGCGAGGAAGCCGGCATGATCTATGGCGATCTTGCCAAACTTCTCATATGTCGTCCCCTCTTCCTTGGTACGGGGATAGAGTTGTGTTCTTAGGGGATCCGGGAGTGCTCGTGCAAAACTGTTCAGAATTTGGGCTGGCGTCAACCCGTGATCAGGGCATTGCAATAGTTCATCCATAGTTGCCTTTAGCGCAGAGGTACTCTTCCATTTCCTGTCAGGAAGGCTGAGGATCAACATTTTTGTACGTCTTGCCAAGTTTTTGTCCTCAAATTTTTCTCTTATTAACTTAAGGAAATCTTCGATTCGCGTTTGCTGCAAATATTCTACCATGGAGCTGCATCCCGCCTCCTTTTGCAGCGAGATGGCGAAGCTTATGGCGTCGCCTCCCATGCACGAAGTTGCCATCAACACCCTGTCCCAGTACGGAATTCGCTGTCCATACACATAAGTTTCAATTGCCGCCGCCCAGTGCAACATACTCTCTTCTTTCTTTCCATTGTAGGTCCATGGCAGTTTGAGCTTTATCTTGTTACCCTGCCCGGTTTCCTGAGAAGGTTTGTCCTGTGGATCCCCAATCTTCTTCTTTCCTTTCTTGTCACCATCACCGTCGTCATCACCATCGTCTCCGCCACCTCCCGCTCCTTTCATGATCTTCTCTATAACTTCGAGAGTGAATGTCTTACTGACGTGGTCATCTAAAACCTGAATATATGTCTGAACATGATGGTCCACATCCTTAGCAGACTTCTCTAAGAAGTTATTCCAGACGGTTTCGAATTCAACCCGATGCGTTTCAACTCTTTGTAGGGTCTGGCGCATTAGGTTCATATCTTGTCTCGTGTTAAGCACTGCTTCTCTCAGTAACGCTAGCTGAGCTTCAGTTGCAGAGGGGTCTTCCTTTTGGGCTTCTAAGGCCTTTTGCAATCTTTCCCCTTCTGCCTGCAGTCTTTTCTTTTCATCAATTTCTTGTCTTCTAGTTGCTAGCAATTTACTGTGCAACTCATCCCTTTTTTCTTCCATCATCAGGTTTCGCTCAACGGTATCTGTCACCATGGCCAGCTTGGCAAGGAACACATCACATTCTTCTTCCGACTCTTTCAGTAATTCGCTGGAGTAGTAGTATTGATTAGCCCAATTCAAGGGCTCAACGGGAGGTTTTTGTGTTGTACTACTCTCCGGGATGTCAATAGGACGACGTCTTACTAAAGTCTTCACTTCCTCTTGTTGTTCTTCTTCTTCTTCTTGTATACTTTTCAATTCTTCTTCCAACTCTCTCTCCATCTTTTCCTTCATTTTCTTTCTTGCTTCTTCTTCTTTCTGTTTTTTCTTTGCTTCTTTCTCCTTTTTCTTATCTGCCAGCTTGTGGTCTATTTCTGCCTGCTCCGCAGGTGTAGGGCTAGGCTTCACTGTTCCAGACCGCATCAGCATGCGGGACGTGCACACACGCCTGAACCCCAGTGGGAACATAAGCCGGAACAGCAGCCCCAACAAGACAGAAAGGGCCAACAGGCCCTGGATGGGATGGTCATCAATGATGACTACCGGCACAGGAAACCCTCCGCCGGGTCACCAAGGTACTATCCCACTCAACTTACTTAGTATTTGTGGCAATGGAGTTCTGCGGTTTTTTTTTTTTGCTTCGGTGGACTGTAGAAGGTGCTGTGTAGATCAAACAAGTATATATACTCTCTTTTTTTCTGTGCTATGCTGTCTGGCTCCCTGGATCAACTTTTGGCAATGTGTTTGCCTCTCTTGATATATAYWTWTWTTTTTTCTTTCTTTTACTAACTTGCTGGGTGTCTGATGCAGGTRTGGAGTACAGCGCAKATTCAGATGGTTCACKTATCCAACCAGGCAGGAATACTTCRTTCCAATRTTTCTTTCTTTCGGGCTTAACAGGCCMTGTAGATGCTCAATATCATCCTTATACTGCCTGGTACCTGCTATCTGACGTGGCACAKAGCCACTTCCCACATCGATTCTTGGTTCTTGATGACGCTACCCAGCCTGCCTATCAAGAGGGATAGGAGAGAACCCTACTCCTATTCGCAGAACACTGGACCACCTACTCTAGTGTGACCAGTCCCTGACACATCGCACTTGGGTCATCAGACTCTGACGGCTCAGACCTAACAGCCAGGACAACCCAGATCCAGACTTCGACTCCTGACCAGATCAGCAGTAGTCACCTTCAGAGGGTCAGAGAGAGAGAAGGTAGGGGACACACACATGCATGCAGGTTCAGGGAAAGGAGGTGCTTCTCTCTTTTTGAAGATACCGCCGATGATGCTCCACGACGCTCCGCACGCTCCAGGTAAGTAGACTTCGCCACTTCTTCTTCGGCCTGCTTCCCCCACTATCAAACCCTTCTTCTCTTCCTCCCTCCTTCACTCTTCCTCCATCACCACCTCTTCTCGCCGGCCTTGATCAGACCAGCGCTATGAGTGTAGCGAGCATCTGCTCCAATACCAAAATTGCATGGGTCCTGGGGACCATCTCACGCAGATGTGTACATGTCATGCATCATCTTCACACACAGTGATCAATAGTCTCAACCATAGACAAAGGTAGAGAAGAAGAGGACCGAGTTTCACGGCTTATATTATCAGAAATATGATTACAAAGTGTTTCAAAGTTCCCCTGAGTCCAACGCTCATCAGCACAACACGAATCTCTGTTCAACTCATCAATATGACTTCCAAGGCATCAGCGCTACCCCTGCAGATTGTCTCCCAGTCATCAATATGGTCACAACTCATCAGCGCCACCTCTGCAGTTCACAACSAACTCAGGTAAGTGTCTCCCATAGCCAAACCTTGAATGAACACTCTATCTCTCAGTCCCTTCCTCTTACGATGCATACACATTCTCTACTCATGAGGATCTACTCTGAATACTACTCATAGCTACATATTAACCCTCTACGACTAATGCAAACTCGCTGGGCAGCTATGGCTGCATCACGTCCAGCGTATAGGCTTCTTCCTGCATTCAGCGCATCTTCTACCTCCAGCGTTGTTCCTCCTGACTCAGCGCACAAGTGCACCAGCACTTCCACGCATTGCAGCCAGTGGAGATCTGGAGAGGAATGAGGCAGGCATCTCCCTTTAGAGTGCTGGCCACTCCTCGCTGGGTCTGCATTGGCTCAATTCGGCCTTTCCTTTGTCCCAGACCCTGCATTGCATGTGTCTCAGTAGAGTCCCAATGAAGTTCAACTGCTGCTGTGGCCTCTCGGCTTGTATTTGGACTTGAAAGTCTGGATCTGAACTGACCCCTTGAATTAAACCAGAACTGGGACTGTGCCTATTGACTTTACTTTCGGACAGGCACAACTCTCAACGAACAGACACATTTACTGCTTGAACAAACACTTTACTTTGCACGAACAGGTACACTGCCTGCACGTACAGACACACTCTTACCCGAACAGACATGACATACACATCTCCTGGTGAACAGGTAAGTCTTTTGACAATGCCCTTTGCCTTAGATTTAGATGTGCCTGTTGATAGAGAACTTGACCTTTGACCTGCTTTCACGTTTCTGAGCCCTGGCAAGATACCTTTTCACAATGCTTTACTTTTACAAGGCCTGAGGCCTTTATTGGGTAAAGGCCCTTTTACTATGAAGACTTACGTGAAGGAGGTCGTACCAACCCATGAATTCGGGTGCACAACTGTTCTTCTTTGTTTTAGGTGCTATTTCAATTCATTTTAAATCAGAAAACCATCCATTCATGCTAAAAAAATCACTTTCTCTTTTCCAAAAAACCATAAAATTGTGTCCCACATCGTAGAATACTTCGCTAGTGGGTCTTGCAGGGAGATCCCACTACCGATGTATGGCTGTAAGGATTAGTGTTTATCTTTATTACTGTTTAAGGTGTGTGACTGTAAGGCATCGTGGATTTGGCAGGAAATCAGCGATAGCCTGTTTTTGTGAATTAAGCTCGGGAAAATGATGTTTTTTTTTGCTCTCCCATTCGTAGCTTTTTCTTTTGTTTTTGTTGTTGGGATCCTGTGGCTGTCCCAAACGTGCGTGAAATCACAACCAAGTTTTTTTGTTCGTGAAATCACACACGTTTCACTCATGGCGAGGCCAAAATGAATGGCTTCATCGCTGGAAATAGATCGTGGTTTGGAAGGTGTTTGGGAGGGTTTGATCCCCTCACCTAGAGCAAATGGTGTATGGAGTTACTCTTGCCCTTCTTTGCCAAAGAGAATTTATGTCCTTGCCAAAGAGAATTTTTGTCCTTGCCAAAGAGAATTCCTTGGAAAGAATTCGCCGCTTTCCAATGCATTATACGCAGGCAGTGGGGTTCCGGAAACACTTCCGCAGCAAAGTTTTTCCTTTCCGCATTCCTGTGGGGTCCCAACCTAAGCCAAAAAAGAAAACGAAAGAAACAAAAAAGAAAAAAGAAAAAAAAGGAAAAAAATAAAGAGAAATCACAACCCAAAAACAGTTCAACTTTTGGTGGAGCGCGAACGAACACGAGAGAGAGAGAGAGAGAGAGAGAGAGAATACGTATCGGGAATGCATCTTCCTGCGAAAGCGGGAAGATTCGTTCCGTTTTGCATTTAGCAAGGCGCGCGCACGCGAGAGAGAGAGAGAGAGAGAGAGAGAGAGAGAGAGAGAGAGAGGCGGCGACCTGCAGCGGCGTTCCGTACAGGTCGTTGCCTCTCTCTCTCTCGTGCGCCTTGCCGCGTACAAAGCGGGAACGAATCTTCCCGCTATCACGGGAAGATGCGTTCCCTATTCCCTCGTCTCTCTCTCTCTCTCTCTCTCTCTCTCTCTCTCTCTCTCTCTCACTCACGCACACACACACACACACACACCCACGTGCGTGAATCTTCCCGCGTTCCCACTAACTATGCGTTCGAAGATCCACGCAGGCATGTGTCTGTGAGAGAGAGAGAGAGAGAGAGAGAGAGAGAGGCGGCGACAGAGAGAGAGAGGGACGGCGTCGCGGCCCTCCGTGCATGTCGTCGCGCCTCTCTCTCTCTCTCTCTCTCTCTCTCTCTTCTAAAGTGTGGAAAACGGGAATGAATCTTCCCGCTGCCGCGGGAAGATGCACTCCCTTTTTCATCTCTCTCTCTCTCTCTCCCTCCCTCCCTCCCTCGCTCCCTCCCTCGCTCCCTCCCTCCCGTCAGTCTTTTTTTTTTTGCCCTTTTTTT